TCCTTCCTGAACTAGTTTTACCCATAATCCCAGGTCTTTCAGTAAATCATATTTCTCAGGCATCTAATAATTTTTGTTGCTTCCCACTGGACTCCAAATTTTTCCACATCTTTCTTGAAGTATGGTGCCCAAAACTGCACATAGTACTCCATGTGAGGTTTTACCAGTTCCAAGTTAGAGTGGAAGAATCACTTGCTTTGTCTTGCAAGTCCATGTTAGTTTTTAAATAATTTTATTATTCTAATTACTGTTGTGCCTTCACAGCCCTTGAAAAGTTCCAATCTTCTGAAACTACACTGTTTCAAAACAAAATTGGCGATTTTTAGGATGGGTTGGGTTGTGTTAGGCTGACAAAATAAGAAAGCTGAGATGGGATTCAGTGACAGAATCATAAAAAGTAGGACTGGAAAGCATCTCCAGGTCTAGTCCAACTGCCTGCATGAAGCAGGGTCATCTGCAGACAAACCATTCTATACAAATCCATTATCCCACCCCCAGATGTCAAAGGTACAGTCCATGGGCTGGATCTGACCCATGGAACCCCAGGATTCAGTTTGTGGGTCTTGGACTGACTCCTGTCTGTGTGTGGCACATGGTGGCTCTGGCCCTGTGTATTGTATGCAGCATGCAAAGTTGGTCTGGTGCGCATTCTAAGTGCGGTGGTAGACCTGCTCTGTGTACTGGTCCTGAAGCCAGTGTACAAGGCAAGTCTGGCCCCTGCACCACATACAGCATGTGTGCTGTACTAGCTCTGTGCATGATGTCAGAAATACCTATAATATAATATAAACATAGCTACTCCTATATAACCCCCAGCCAATGCTTGTCTTCCCTCTTCTTGAACACCTCCAGTAAGGGAGAGTCCACAACTTCCCTAGGGAGTCTGTTCCACTGCCTCGCTGTTCTAACAGTGAAGAAGTTTTTCCTGTAATCCAGTCTAAATCCGCTTAGCTTCAACTTTAAGCCATTGGCTTGTGTCCTACACTCAGCAGGAAGAGAGAAAAGGCATTCTCCTTCTTCTTTATGGCAGCCCTTCTGGTATTTGAAAACTAATATCATGCCCCTTCATAAGTACCTTTTCCAGAAGCTGTACATGCCTATTTCCTTTAACCTCTCCTCATATGACATGCGTGCCAAGCCCAACATCATTTTTGTCACCTGCCTCTGGACCTTAACTTCTCCAAGTCCTTTTTTTTTTAACGTGGAGACAAACTGCACACAATACTCTAGATGAGGCCTAACTAGTGTTAAGTAGATAGGCACTATTGCCTTCTGGGTCTTGCGCGCACTGCTTTTATCCATGTGTCCCAAAACCACATTTGCCTTTTGTGGAGCTATATTACACCGCAGACTCGTATTGAGTCTGTGATCTACCAGATCATTTTCTGTAGTGCTTCCATCCAGCCAGGTGTCACCCATTTTGTATTTGTGTTTTTGGTTATGCTTTCCAAAATGTAGCACCTTGCATTTGTCAACATTGAGTTTCCTGTTAGCTCCAGCCTAGCTTTCCAGTGTGTTGAGATCCTTCTGAATTGTGCTTCTTCCTCCAATGTGTCCTTTCCAGCTTTGTGTCTTCAGCACATTTGCTCAAGAAGCTCTTTATTAGCTATGTGGATGCTGGAATTAACACATTGAACAGCACTGGGCCCAGGATAAACCCCTATGGGATTTCACTTAAAACCCCCTGCTGTTCTGATATGGATTTATTTTTAATTAACCCAGCTATAATGTGAGGTGTCTATCCATCTTATAGTAGTTTTGTCTAACCCATATTTCTCCCATTTTGCTTATGAAAAGGTTATGTGGGACTTTGTCAAAAGCCTTGCTGAAGTCCAGATACACTGTGTCTATAGCATTCCCTTCACCCACTCAAATAAAGTATTCACTCAAATAAAAAATGAAGTTGCCCTCCCCCCACTGGCATGGAGGAAAAAAGCTCATCTTAATTTTGCATGCAAGGAAATATCATGAAATATATTGTCTGTTATTAAGACAAAAGCAGCTTGTGCTCAGCAATGGACACGAACTATAAAGTTGATTTAAATGCAGCCAACACTGAGCATGACTAAAAGACATGGCCCCTATTGGGCAAACATACTTATGGGAACCTAGCACAAGGATAGATTAGCATAGCCCCTCTCAATACGATATATAGTAATGCCCATTAAGTTCAGCTCCCATCATGGCTGATTCTTTTCCAAGTTATGGTGAGCCACTTGGACATTTGCATATATTTTGATGACTTCACTCCCACAGCTGAACTATACCTTTCTTTCCCATTTCCAATGATTCCTGTTTCTTCACCAGCCTTAAATGCCTGGCAAACATCATGAAATGGGCCACCAGCCAGTTCACCCAGAATCCTTGTGACCCCTTCCCCCCCATTTGGTGCACATGATTAGCATGGCGCTACCCTCTATGAGATGAAGCCAGACCCGGTTGCCCTGTGGCTTATCTATATATATGTTTTTGGAGAATCTCAGGACTCGGGATGAGAACACCCAATTCCAGTCATGAGTGGGGGCTAATTAGCACATGGATCCTTTTGGGGGGGCGGGGAAGGGGTGTATTTGGAGTACGTGTATATACTTAGCAGTGCTGAGCTGTGAGGTCACCATGGCCTGCAATATTGTTGGCTGATGTGACCCAGCCTGATCAACTGTGTGGTAAATCATGAGCCTTTGGCTTTGGACTAATATCATGCATAGTTTGTACTATATATAAACATGCCCTAAAGTGCTGCTCAGAAGTTTGTTTCTCATCTGTGCTAAAACTTGCAACAGGTTCAAAAAAAAGTAACGTAATTTTGGATGAGCTAGGTATATGGATACTATATACAGATTGCTATAGCCATGCTTAATTGTGAAGTTATTGTTTTTGAATTTGATTCTCATTTCCATGTGCTCAGGGTGAGCAGGGTCCGACAGTAAGGAAAGGGGGAAGGGATTGCTAGGGGAAAAAGTTGGGGGGAAGCAGAAAACAAAGGAGCAACTTAACCCCCCAGATTTAGTTTCCCTGCTGTAGTAGTGGGAAGGGTCTAGATTCAAGGCAGACTTCCAATAATTAGATTCTGTACCTGGAAAATTATTACAAATATATAAATTTTCCATAAATAGAATCTAATTATTGGGGGCAGTATCTTATAATCAGGGTCATTTTCTATTAAAGTAAATATGGTATTTACTTTGCCAAAGGAGGAGATCCAGTGTGTTTGACACATTGTTCTTAGTAAATCTATGCTTGCTGCTTGTGATCAGCCTTTCCTCTTTCATATGCTTGCAAATGGACTTCTATATGATATGCTTCATTTAACTTTCCAGATATCGAGGTGAGGCTAACTCAAGTGGACAATTATTTGGGCTGGAGGGCCACTTAGGGAGTTTTGGTGAACTGTTGTGGGATGGGTAAGCAACCCCCACCCCCTACCACCCTGGGTCAGCACCTTCCTTCTCCACACACCCCTCCCCCCCAGAACAGCTTATCAAAACACCCTAAGAGGACCCCATGTGCAGTGTGTGCTCATCTGGGTGGATGGGATGGGGCTGTGGGGAGCAACTTCCAAGAACAGGATGGGTGGTGCCAGGACCAGGATCAGGATCAAGGTTGTGGGGCTGGGGCCTGAGGCAGAGCCGTAATCTGCTCCACATGGATTGTCATCAGTCCAACCTGGGATGTGGGTAGAGTGCATGCCTGTGACCTGGCCCTCTTGCTCTCACCCCAGCACACGTGCACAAGCAGCTCCAATACAGCATGGCTGCTGAGTGGTGCAGCCTGGCAGTGCTGGGTGACCTTGTTGGGTCATGAATGAGTTAGTCTAGAAGATGCCACCCTGCCCAGTCTTCTGGTTATAAACAGCCCTATGCAATATCAACAAAGCATAGCGTACGTTAAGAATTAGCGGACAGGTCTTAATTTAACACTTATTATGGAATAATCTTCCAGTCAAGCAGTTTCTCATTGGATTCTAGAGGGATCAGTACTAGGCTGAAGCTATTCTGTATTTTTATCAAATCAAATATTTGAAAGTAACGCTTGCTGATGACGTAAACATTTGGTTGACTGGTAGATAATGGTGATGGGCTAGTTAGTGATATGGAACACTCTGGATTGCACTGTAAGTTGTATCTATGTGTTAATATAGCAAATGCAAGGTTATGCATCTAGGAATGAGGATTGCAGACTCATACCTAACAGATTGGAGAATTAAACACAGGACAGTAGTAATTATGAAAGTGTTTTGTTAAGGGCTTAGTGGACAAAGAGCATGAGCTCTTAGTACAATACTGTGGCAACTTGACCTAGGTGAGTGAGTAGTTTAAAGAGGAGACTGACTTTATTACAGCACAGGTGAGACCTGGGATATTATGTACAGTTCTGTGTGTGTGTGTGTGTGTGTGTGTGTGTGAACTGTACATAATAACCCAGGTCTCACCTGTGCTGTAATAAAGTCAGTCTCCTCATATATATATATAAAAAAAAAACTATAGGATACTATAAGATTGGTGAGAGAATAGATAAGAGACCCAAAAAGTAAATGAGGTCTAGAGAAAATGTGTTACAGTGAGACTTAATGCTCAATCTGTTTAGTTTTATCAAAAAGATGATGATACAACTTGATAAGTGTATCAGTACTTCCAGCATGAAAAAATACTGGATACCAAAAGGATCTTTAATCTTGTGAAGTGGCATAACAAGAACCAATTTTTGGATATTTAAAAGTAGACAACTGAAAATTTTAAAAATTAGACACAATTTTTAACCACTGAAGTATGAGAAGTTGTTCTTGGAATTCTTGATGTTTTGAAATATTGTTTATTGGTCTCCATACAGAGGTAGCTGGTGAAATTCCTATGACCTGTTACATGAAAGGTCAGAGTAGATGATTCAATAGTCCCTGCTGTCATTAATGTATGCAATATTTGGATGAGTCTTTTGCCTATCAGATAGGATAATTCATTTTGCTTTTGCTCCTTAAATGAGTTCATTGTTTTATCTTGCAGAAAGCACCTCTATTGCTACATTACAGACCCAAAATGGACTTGCTGTAAGAGAACTTTATTGTCCTTCTGGACAGAGTTTTTTGCAGAGACTATCACCAGGCACCTTCTTAGTGCATCACTTAACTTACACGACACGAACCAGCAGAATCATTTTGGAAGACTGTAGTGCTTTCACAACCAACCACCCTTCTGAATATTTCTTCTAGGGATGTATTACCTGGATTTCTGGACAGAAAATATTTATACTTTTTTGTATGAAAGAAATAAATCACAACTCAGCAAGACACTACCAGCACTAAGTTTACTGATATTGAAAACACTTCACAGTTCCATGTAGCTCACTGCCATTTATCTCTTTGCTGCAGTTACACAGAAATAAATTAAAATGTTGTGGGAATGATTTTAAAGGTTGCTTTTGACACCAAATTATCTTTAGTTACTTTTCATGTGTTGAAGCTTTCAAAGCTTATTTTGATATTTTTTGCAAGGTGTTTTTTTGTCTTACATAGTCCACTTCAGTTATTTTGGCTTTCATTGAGACCTTTGTAGAGCATTGAACATACCTTATGATATAGTGACTGGTGATATTTATTATGCTGCATTAAAACTTCCTAAAAACCTAGGCATCAAATAATTTCATTAATTTTACACAATGTTTGATCATATTTGCTTTATATTTCAGTAATGTTTTGATGCGCCCCTGCATGTTGATTTGATGAGGCTAACAAAGATGAGTTCACTTAACTAATCTGCTGTATATTTTGCAATGGCATAAGATGCATTTGATCATAATGAGTACTCAAAGTACAATATTTGTGAACTTGTTTTAAGGTAGACTTGTCTTATGTAGTTGGGGCTTGCAAAACTATTTTATTTTTAGAGAATTTGATTTTTTTTTAATTTATTTTCATTTTTTTTTACAAAATTGAGCTTAGTAGTTAATCCTTAACTGCTTGAGTTCAAATATTTCTATATTGAAAAATATACGATATGGTAATATTGCACAGGTTTCCATTTCACAGGGTTAAAAATTCAGTTAATTGCAGACCAGTTTTAGGTTTCATTGTAAGACCATTGTTTTCTCTAGCTCTATCTCTAGCTATCTTGGAGGTCAGACTACATCTTAGTATTACCTTCTGGCCTTATGATCTTTGATTTTGTCCAGACCTGAGAGATGCAAAACACCATGCACATATGTCATTAGGCCTACTCTCAGGTATGCTTTAGGGGGGTCTTCAAATAAAAATTTCAGAAGGCTTTTTAAAATAGGCAGCTTTTAAAAACTATTAATATTGGTTTCAGGTGAACTCTGCAAGCTGCATACTGTATAATATAGTAGACATAATATGAATGTTAAAATATTTGATTTGGCACAGGAAGTTTTAAATTACTGAAAGGCGGATGTGCGGTGTTACTGATGGCTTGAATTTGTAATTTTGAATCTCGGGAGAGTTTCCCTGTCAGCTGAAAACAAGTTAGTATACATATTATTAAACCCTTGTATTCCACCATAACGTAGAAGTCACTAGCTTGATGGAATCATTTCACCTGCCAGCACCACCCCAATTCTTCCAGCTGACCTCCTCTCCCCTGCAAAGAATCATTTATTTAAAAAAATCATTCAAGAACAGGGAGAAAAACATGGGAGAAGTTTATCTAAAACTGTATATCATCTTCCCTCTTGTCATAAAGTAATCTGCTATCTCTTCCCCGAGTCCTCTGTACAACATATTCCTACATGTACCTCCTATACAACCTCACACGTAGGTTTTCCCAGGCAAGGTTCTTTGCTTTCTTTTTAGTCATAGACGTGAACAAGGAAGGAATTGAACACAAATGGAGAAACCAGAAGAATCTGATACACTATAGGGCTTATTAAGGTACACAAGGTAGGATTAATACATTAGTGCCATCTCTGCAACCCAAAGGCAAAAGACCCATACATTTTCTGAACTTTTTTTGGATTAGAGGATTTTTCAGGTTTGTTTTTTTTTTTTCTTTCATTTGCAGCCCCCTAAAAATTTTTGAATGGCGGTTTGGACCCCTTTGAATTGTAAGTGTGGGTATTCACATACTTTTGATTTGATCATGGTCATCCTTCATGGATCCCTTAGACGTAGTCTGTGGACCCCCAAGGGTCTGCAGACCACAGGTTGAAAACCACAGGATTAGAACATATTTTATGTTGAACCCAAGACTGTTTCAGTATAGGGAGAGAGAAGTGGAGATTAGAACTTTTAGTTCTGGATTGGCTTCGCTATTCCTGGACGCACCTATTTGTGTTTCATTTTTTATTTATACATAATTAATAATATTTGTAGGAAAAAATGGAAGTGGCAGAAGAGGACAGAGGAGACTTCATTTGTTTAGTTTTGGCAAAAGATCACTTGACTTTTTCTCAGAATAATGGAGAGATGCCATGCAACCTTCTAAGACAGTTGATTTACTGGGCCTTCCTGGGACTATTGATATGCTGTCATTGTCATTCATAGTATAGATGATGGAGCTCATCCCCATAGACCATGTCCTCCATCAGTGGCTATCTAAGGGTTTAATAAATGTATATACATGATCTGTCTACCTCAGAATACATGTACTGCAGCAGCGTTTTGTAAGACTAGACGTTACTGCAATGCCCTGAAGAATTTTAGTATTTTCCTGTGTAACTAAACTGAGGAGAAATTAACAGTGTAAGCATGCAAATTCAAAAAGCCCTCCGCCATTCAGTTCTAACTCTTGCTGTAATAGTCTACAGTACAGGATATATATTTGGAAGTTTGTAGCTAATTTTGGAATCACTTGAATTTGTTATGGTGCTATATCAATATATTTTACTTAAATGTACAGGATCATAAATCTGAAGCCAGTATTAACAACTACAGCTGGTTATGGCTTATTGCATAAAACTCTGCTTTTGTAATATGTTAAACTGACAAAACCTCAGTGGTAAAAAATACCTATTTTTCTAAATTGCAATCTGTCACAATATCTTCATTATGGATTTCCCATGGAGGTTTGCTGCACCATTTACTGTTTTTTCTAGCTTCATTGGAAGACTAGATGGAACTAAATTCAAGTAGGAGGGATGCCTTGGGGTCAAAGTTCTGTTTCACTTCTGTGAAGCTTAAGAGACAGTTGATTTGATGTCAAGACTTATATTGGGTGAAAACTATTGATGTAGATTTGTTTTCTATTGTCTAAGGTCTGAAAGTCAGGCTCAGCATAGATATCGCTTGGTCTTTTTGGGGTCATGTTCAATATATTTTGGTTTTAGTGAAGGTGGAGTAACTGTGAAGTAGTTTTCACAACTGTTTATGCTGGTAAATAATTGCAGTACAAGCATCTTGTTGCATTATCCTCAGCAGCAATGAGACTAATTACCTAGGCTCATAGTCTCACTAGATATAGTTTTCATTTAAAATAGAGAATTCAGATAGAATATATAATATTGAATTTAAATAAGATTTGGGGGGTTTAAAAATTAACTTTATAAAATTATTTATTCTATTTTAAGCCTTCTATCTTATTTTACCATCCAAGTATTTTGGTTTCAATGGTCCAGCTTTATTTACGGGCATATAAAATGAAATTGTGAGATGTTTTTACAAGCTTCTTCCTTTTACATTGCGTTTGAGTAGTTTTTATTTGTATGTTTTTGTTTTTGTATGGATAAAGAGCATTAATTATGCTTTTGTGCAATAGGTTTGAAACATGCATTTATTAGGCATATGTTTAAATTGAAAATGTAGCATCTACTTACCGCTAAATTGAAAAGGATTGTAGGTGGAGTTTTTGAAGATGTACATTCAAATGGTTTGTGTTTGTTTGTTTTGGGGGGCTTTGTTTGTTTGTTTTTAAGTAAAGTTTGGGATTTTTGAAATTTGTGTAAGAGCAAGAACTACCTGTCAGCAATATTTTAAAATAATCTGGCAAGAAAACTTAATGTGAATTGTGGAAGCAATCTGCAAGACTTGCAGCCTATCTGAAACTGTTTTGTGCCATTGTTATGTCTGGTATCTTTGTGTACCATCTAACCTGGGAATATTTATTTTTTATTGGTTGTGCAATACTATACACAACGCTATAACCTCTGGGGACATGGGACCATAAAAAATATCAGACTACAATTATGATGGTGCTATCTTTCCAGTAGGCTATGAGCCTTTGAAAGCTTATCTGGCTCTATTGTCTTTATAACAGCATAATTAGTCTTAGAAGATTTGTTGGATTTTTTTCTATTGGATGATAAATGTAATAGTATAGCTATCCTATTTTACAGTGATTTGAAATTTACCATTGAATTAAAGAGAATAGGAAAAAGCCAATCAGTTTGTACATCAACAGATTAATCTTTGATAAATTTATATTTTAATCAGTACTTATGAAATGCATTTAGTGCAGACACTTAAACTGTACAGAAAAAAAATCCAGTTTCTGTGTTTCCTCAGGTAACCAGTTCACACATTTTGCTGGAGATATTAATGCAGCCTACATTTCTGTTCCTCTGCTTCATAGCTAATAAAAAGATAGACATTCTGTCATACATGTTAAATCTTTTGCGTAATAATATACCTTACTTTAATCAAGGTGTCTTGACATGCAGTGGTGTTAGGTCTGAGGTGCAGAGAGAACACTTAATTTTCTGAGGTGCATAACATTATCATGGAACTGTACTCTGCTTCTACATATGGATGCAAACAGAGATTAGATACAAATAGCCTAGGAACTTGCATCTTATGGTAAGCCATCATTCACTTTTCTTACTGGCGAGTTTGAATTTTCTTGTGTATAAAACCTAACCCCAGACCTGTAAATCTAATTTGCTTTGGCAAATCCAGTTGAAGTTTAATATAGTCTACCCAAATCAGATTACAGGACTGGGGTCTTGAGTCCGAATTCTGCAAACACTTTAATGGTAACTTTATGAACACAGATGATCCATTGACATCAATGGGTTTATTTCTATGAGTAAAGTTACTTAGGGGTGTGCCTGCAGGATGCAATCCTGAGTTTTGAAGAATGGACAGAAGTTCCAACTTTATTTTAAAATGCACTTAAAATATTGGCTCAGTTAAGTTCTTACATCCAAGTGCTTTAACCAGACAAGACAAAAATTCTTTCCATCTGAAAAAGATTAATTTAAGGTTAAGGGACAATAAGCCAGTGTAACCACTAAGCCTTTACCCTCAATATGTGGCATAATAAAGGTATTGAAACTATCACAGTGTAAAACCATATTTTTTACTTAGTTTCATTTGAAAGTTTACATTTTTATGCTTTGTGTTGCTGTGTAATTTTTGTACTATTGGTGGCTAGTTTTTGTCTGAATAAGCCTTTTGGGATTATTGCTTAATGTTTTGATTTTATGATAGTGAAGCTTGTATTCAGTGTTTTGCCAATTAATATTATATGCTTGTTAATAAAAGCGAAAAAGATAACTAAAAATCCTGTTGGGTTGGAAATTATTGTCCATTTTTTTTTCTCAAGAACATATAGGACTAGCTAGTACAATACAGTGGTATTTTACAACCTCAGCATGCGCACTGGAATGATAATCACACATCTGGTTCTACAATGCATCTTTGCCCCTACCTGATGTGCCTTTTCTGTGATTCGTATGCTGACATAGTACAAAATGTTGTACTAAAAATGAATTTTCCTAAATTGGTTAACTTTGTTTGTGCCAAGTACATGGCAGTAAATGTTAATTTACAAATAAAGTGATTTATGGTGTGTGGAAGGAAGAAATGATATTTTTGATTCTTTATATACTTTTTCCACTTTAGTCTCACTTCTTATCTGCTAAGCTTGGTATACCAGGGTGGACTGGAGTATATACCATGGAGATGAGAAGTGTGTGTAATCATTAGTGATTGACAGATACTAATATTCTATTGTTTCATGGCTAGAAGGTAGGAAATGGTCTATGAGTAAGTAAAATACTATTGTAGGAAGATTTGGCTCATGAATCAAGAAATAAATGTTGCCCTTAAAGAATATATGTACATTTCATTTACCCTCTTGAGTTTCTCTAGTGGCTTATTTCCTAAATGTTCAAGCTCACTGGGATTTTTTGTTGGAATTGCACACACACATTTTCCTTCTTGAATCTGTATAATTCAGATGGTTAATCTGGATTCAGTAGTAAACTGCAAAGCAAATGGTACGCCATATGAATTGCTTTTTAGTATGTGAATTCAGCACATACGTAGGTTTTTAGAATTACTGTCTGGTGTTCATTTAATAATGAGATGCATATGCTCCAGTTTTCTGCCACTGAGTGATTAGGAATGGTAACAAACTTTTTTTTTGATCCTCTTATCACTAGGGGCTTGTTCCTGCACATAATTCTCATTTGTACTCATGGGAGTTTGTGTAATTATCCTGATGAGAATAGGTTTATTAGACATTTTACCATTGATTTGGCAGTTTAATTACCAGCATGAAGTAACTATATCAGAAATGTCATTTTGTTTATATGTATTACTTAAAAGTGAATAAATACACTTCAGCTCTAATTCTACTCTGAGCGCTATACATCTCCCATGTTCTCATGATTAGTGGTTCTGTCACTTCCCCATCGTTTTGCATTGTTGCTTACTTCAAATACCTGTAAACTAAGTCTGATTTTTATGCCTGGTTTTGTCTGGGTGGTCCGCCATTTTGTACTGTTGATAAGGATTCCAGGAACCTAGAAATAACAACAGGGCTAGATACCAGCAGTTGTATTTCATAATAGTTTCACTATTTTCCCACCTTCTGTATTCTGCTCAAATAGTTAAGTAATGAAAAGCTGTGCCATCTGTGATGTGGATTGGGCAGGGGGGGCAGCTGTGTCCCAGACCCTGGGACTGCCCTGTGCTAACACAGAACAGTTCAGACTTTATGCCAGGCAAATTGTTTTGGCAAAAATGAAAGAATTGGCGCATACTCTTTTATTTCATCTCTAATTTCAGTTTCATCAAAATATTATATGAGTGTCTCTAGGGTATGGTAATATTAAACTAAGGATGTGCATTCTGTGGTGATTAATCTTTAAAGTTAACAGACTTTTTGCTAAGGCCAAGGCTAAATTTAAAAAAGATCAAGCAAAAGGAATTACATTTCAGCTTGAAACAAGCACATAATAGAGTAATCACAGTGCTTGACATATTAGTTCTCTACTTTTGTATTAGCAGATCAGACTTACTGTCAACTCTCTCCTTCAATGCTAGGCAGTCCTATTGACCTCTTCACCAATATCTCATTGCACTTCAGATGCTGGTCCGTGTTCCCAATACATCACTGAATTAATTTCTACCAAATAGTACTCTGCATGGCATTTACCACCACCCCTCCACCTTCCAATGATTGGCATATTCAACAATGTCATCATTATGGTCCTGTGTGTCCTGACTGGAAGGACTTCTATTGTGTACCACAGCCATGGAACGTGGGATCCAAAGTGTAATGCTCACTTGCTGTGTGTATGATTTGCTTTGCTTATAACAGTTTGCTAGCCCAGCAAATCAACCACAAGGCACCACTCTATGCACACAGGGACAAGACAGGGGCTAGCTTGTGTGAGTGTCTTCTGGCAGCTGACTGCCTTAAGGTAAGAAGTTCCTTAATTACATTAAGGCCAGAGACAGAAGAATTCAACAAGTAATCAATAAGCACATTAAAATCATCAACAGGGTACACGCACGGTGGAAAAAACATCAAGCTATTAATCAAATTTGGGGTTGAAAGCTCCTGGAGGGTGCCTAATTACCACACCAGCGAAAAGGGGTGAAGGCAATTAAATTGAAAAGTATTTGAGTGTGATCATAGTGGAAGGACTGGCCAACAATAAATACTGGGAGTTCCTGCATGCCTGCCCCTTTCCTAAGCATGAGATTGCTCTCTGAGCAGTGGGAAGACCAGTCATCAGTTGCATTTTGTATGAAAAACTCTCATGGTTCCTGTTTCCATCATTACTTGTTATTGTATCCAAAAAGTCAGGTGGTAAGCTGCAGATAGTTGCATTTTTTCATCTTAAAATGAAATGCCATGTTCCATATTGCCGTCTCCATATTCATTCTCTCTCCTCTCATCCAACTGATGCTCTTATCTCCTGTCCTCCTAACTCTCTTACTGCCCAGTGCCCCTTTACTCCCCCTTACCACCCTGTTGGAATCCCTCCCACGTATCTTCCTCTTTCTTTGTGTCTTCTGAAAACCCCTTGAGATTCAAAGTATAACGGCTGCATATTATACTTATCTATAACTCTGTGATGCATATGAAATGGAGCAAATATGGTGCTTTATTAGTGAGGGAGACATTTGATCAGACCTCAAATAAATGGTTGTATAGTGGAAGCTATGGGATGTATCTGTAATCAGGAGGCCTAGATCTGAAAATCGTATCACCCTTTCGCCCAAGAGCCTGTAACCAACCCTCTTTTCCTCCTCCATGAAGTTTCTTATCCACAGAATCCCAGTGCTTTAATTGGTTACAGGATTGTCACACTTTACCCACAACTATTTGTATGGTGCAGTTATTTGGGAGGTACTAGTAGCTGGCTAGGCTCCAGTTTTGAGCAACGCATGCTGCCTCCATATGTACCGCTTTTCTTTTCTTTTGTGTGGGGTTTTTTTGACCTTGGATATCCAGGGGCCAACCCCCTCCCCCCCCTTCTTACTTCCCCCCGCACCTGCTTCCTTGCAGTGCAGAGAGCAGCTGAACATGTGGTGTGTGGCACCGCAGATGTGTCTATGGCACCCCATATCACATGGCCACGCTTGTCTGTATGCAGCCTAGTAATTCTGTTCTGAGCAGATTTTTACCCTCACTTTCAGAGGTTCAGGAAGTGGGGATCAGTGACGGTCTCTGCTTCCCTTTCACCATGTAAGGGCAGGTGATCACCCTGCTGGTCTGAGTCAAGTGCCATGGGCTAATCTACCTCTATCCTGGAAACCACTTACAGGTAACAAGGGAGGGGAAAAACTCACAGACCTAATTTTGTAGTCTAAAGAAATCAGACATGCTTTACAAATGTATGCAAGCCCCATGGCCCAAAACTTGCAAGGATGGAGTTCTGTTATGTTAGACCTGCCAAGGAGAAAGCAGCTCTGGACAGCTTTGGTAGCATGAACTATGTACTTCCCCATACTTATGCCAACTGGGTTCTGCTGCTCTAGCTGTAATTAGTCTATTTTTGTATGAATGCTAATGAATGATTATTTCTTGTTCGTGAAAAAGTCTGTGCCATGTTTTACTCTGGGTTCTCCACTTGGAATCCATCCCCTTTTTGGAGCGAGTCTGAAGGTCTGGATCAGTGCTGGCAGGGTGGAGACCTTACTGACATCCTGGTGAGGCCGAGCTGGCCCAATAATAGTGGCTCAGGTCTGATTTATGCAGTAGTGTATAATCTGATCTGACAGTATCTCAGATCTCCCAAGGCCTGGCAAGTCCATGAAAATACGTAATGACAGTGAGTCAAACCAGCTGCCCATTGGAGTAGTTATCTGGAGTGGAGCAGAAAGGCAGAAGAGTCTGCTACCGCCAAGTCTAAATGAACCCATGAGTGTGGTTTTAGTCTTTTTACTTCTTCCAAAATCACTGAATACGACCCAAGGAAAATTTATAGGTGGGTTATTTTTTCACCTGACCCTTTTTGGGGCTTCTCAGATAGCTAGCCCTTCGCTTCTCAGATAGCAAACTGGTACCACTCCATTTTGGATGCAGTGAATTCAGTTCAAATGGCATTATTATACATCCTTGCCTAACATCTCCAAACAAAGCTGCTTCCACCATTTGGCAACCATAGCCCTCTGGTTGTTGGTTCAGGGCTTCTTTTCATCTTCCTTCCCCCTCCCCACCACTGTTTATCAATATGCTCTGCATAAAGGGTAATACAGAAAATGCCAAGGAAAAGGACTTCAACTCTTAGTGGCACTTCAGCTGCTGTGAAAAGGATGCAAAATATAAGATTTCAAGAAAGTTATGAAGATAAGGCACTATGCCTTACGAATAACCATAGAACGAATGCTTCTTCAAGAGCGACCTAAAGTAAAGAAGAAAGAGCAGATAGTTTTGCTGCTACTTTGTATAAGAAATGCTGGGTCAAGAGCTGCAGAAACTGAGGAAACAGTGGAATGGTGCAAGGAAAATCGTCAGTTTATCATTGCTCAATGGACTGCAGTTTGGGCAGATAAAAAGAATTCTGTTTTTGATTATAATCCTTCAGTGCCATACAAAATGGATAAATTGGTTACAACCAAAAGTGTGTGCATTGTATGCCACTACTGTCAGGCGAAGAATTGGAAAGGGGAATCCATTGGCATGTGCTGCTCTAATGAAGTGAAGCTGCAACCAATTGAAGAGCCTTCAGAACCACTTAAAACTCTTTTATCAGGTCATATGGAATATTCAAAGCACTTCCTGGAAAATGGATGAAAATATAATAATGCTTTTCAGATGACATCTTTTGGCACATCCAAGTAGGTTTCAGAAGGAAACTTCATGCCAGCATTTAAGATTCAAGGACAAGTGTAACATATGGCAGAATCCCTTATTCTACCTCCGGACAAAGAATCAAAGCTTTTACAAATTTACTTGGTAAATGATCTACAACCCCAGAATAAATTATGTTGTAAGTATAATTTGGACATCTGGCATGATATAGTGTTATCCTTGCAGAATGCGTTACATTCGAAGAATTCATACGTGAAGTTTTAAAATAGCTCTTGAAAGTATGCTGAGAGAAGATTTTAAAAT